GTGATACATGCTCAAGATAGAACATTTAAAAAGGATACACAGTGAAAAATAAGTCTCCTTCCCACAACCCAGCCGTCATACTTCCCTTCCTAGAGGTGAGGAACCAGTGTGAGTATTGTTCCAGAGCTTTCTCTGCAAGTGCAAGCATGTGGATATGTACTTTTCTTCCCCACACAAATTGTAGCATATTATGCAAACCTTTAACAATATTTTAATATCTTGAGTGCCTTTCATATCAATATAAAGAAAGCCATCTCATTCTTTTGAATATATGCATAATATTCTATTATATGAATATATCATAACTTAACAGTCCACTCTTAATGCTCATTTAAATTGTTTCCAGTCTGTTCTTACTGGATAGTGCTACTGAACTCATGTACATGTCATTTTATGCATGTGAGTAAAGTTATAAATATCTATAAAATAAATTCCTAGAAGTAAAATTACTGAGTTTTAGGGTATGGACCTTTTATATTTGGGTACTTATTTCTAAATAGCCCTGCAGAGTAGTTGGACCATTTACACTTCCATGAAATACCATTTTTCACCCCCTTGCCAAAAATATCATATTAAACTTCTTGGTCTTTGTAAATCTGACAAGATAAAATGGTATCTCAATATAGTTTTAATTTAAATTTCTCTTTTTCTTAGAGAGGTTGGACATCTTGAAAATTTCAGTCTTTTATGTTTTCTTTCCTGCACATTATCTGTTCATATATTTTTTGCCATAGTTTTTCTATCATAATAGTGGTCTTATAGATTTTAGGTGTTCTTTAAAAAGTAAATCAGTCTTTGCTACAAATATTTTTCCTGGTTTGTCTTTGTACTTTATGGTGTTTTAAAAACCACATAGAAATATTTGGTTTTACTTATTCAAATTTATCTTTTTTGGTGGCTGCTGAGTTTTGTTTCAGACTTAAAGACTTTTTGCACTTAAAGATAATTTTTTTATAATCTGTAGCCTCTTTAATACGTTTATGGTTTTAGTTTTTTAGTTTTATTTGGAATTTATGTTATATGGCATGAAATAAGGATCCAGCTTCTTTTTATTTATTTATTTTATTTTTATTGAAGGCTATTCAGTTATCCCAACACCATTTATACTTTTTTTCTTCAACACTTGCAGTATTACCTTCACTGTTTAAGTTCCAATAGATAATATTGAAGTCCATGCTTTTTTTTTTACCTTTGAATTCTCATTCTACATGGACTTTGTAAACTGTTCAGTTACCAAAGTATTGGGATCAGAAACCTATAGGTTTGTTATATAAGGAGGTAGTGGAATGGGGAGGTATTGCTGACTTCTTAATATGCTTCTGGTTGTGTTATGAGTGCAGAGAAATGTACTTTAATTAGACCTCAAACTCTGCTTGCTCTGAGCAACCCATCCAATTCCAACTCTAGTTCTTAATCTTATGTTCTTTATGGTCTTACAAGAAAAAGTAAAGAAAACTTACCAGAATACCTTTTCAAAAGTTAAATGCTTCCTCAGGGAAATAAACTTGTGGAGAAAATAAAGTTTAGACAGTGAGAAAATATGTTAGTCTCTGAATCATTATTTTCTGTTCGAGAGTTAACACATTTTGTCTAGAATTAGGCTTATGTTATTATTAACTGTTGACTTACATTCACTCTAAGTCAGCAATATAAAACCAAAAAAAAAAAAAAAAGAACATGTCTTATGAAGTTTTGTTTTTACATTCATTTAATGTTGAGGCCTCTTTAGGGAAGTTGGCAGAGAATTTTACTAAAGAATGCACTGGTATAGATTAATATACTCAAAGGTGGAGGGTTTTCTAATTGCTATTTTTATAATGCTCATCTTTTTCCTCTCGTTTTTACTATTTAGATGTATTTTATGGTTTATATTCTGAAGTACCCTGAAGTAGATTGATTTGCAGGCCAGGGAGGTAAATATTATAACAAAATACTATGAAAAGCTGTTGATGTCTACAGCTTTTTTGTTAATTCTCGTCCATATTGATTTAACAAGGATTCTAAAATACCCATTGCCATGAAACTTTGTATTAGTGAAATGCTCCAGTTTTAAGGGTTTTCATTCCATGTTTGGGTTTGTGGATCCTCTGTTTTCTCAAGGTGTACTACTGTGTTTGGGATAGAAAAGTAGAAGCAGTACTCCCCAGTTCTGTCATTAATTTTTAGGCAAGTCACTGCCTCTGTTTCTGTTCATCTGCCAATTGGAGTGGTGGGGGCTGCAGAAATTGTCCCTTCCGCTTTGCAAGACTGTGAGAGAGAGAAGTAAGACTGCTAGAAAATTTCTTTTGAAGTTGAAACTATCATTTTACATTTGTAGGTTTTTATACCCCTGATCAGTTTTCTTCTCGTTTTGTGTTTGACTTGTCTCTGTTTTAAGTTTGTAAGCATTGATCCAGTCAGTATTGAGACACTATAAAATGTTTAGACTTTTTTGCCATTGTTATTTCTCAAGGGAAAAAAAAAAGCTAGGACAGTATATATATATATATATATATATATATATATATATATATATATATATATATGGCCTCCATGTCCTGAAATTAGCCATGCCACAAAGCATGTTGGAGTTATGCTATGCAAAAAAAAGACAACTGCTTTAAGGTGGGCTACTTTTTGTTTTACCTAGGGACTGTTCTTGCTTAACTTTAAAAATGAACATTTCTCTAAAATAATTAACTCCAATTTAATGAATTTCAGATTTTACTCTAAAAATAGAAACAATATTGAATTTCTTTCTCTTAAATGCCTAATACCCTTTTGAATGTCAATTGAGATAATGGGCAGTTTGAAAGTTATAAATATTGGCCAATTATAGTGTTCCATTTTCTTATATAGAAGATAAATTTTAAAAAGTATAAAATGGTAGCCGAAGTTTATATTAATAGAATGATTAAGTACATTATAGTTATGTCCATTCAGTGGGAAAATATACAACCATTAAGTAATTGTGATAGTCACCTAATGTAAGTATAGCCATATGGAAAACATTTAAGAATGGGAAAAGCAGGATAAAAAATACAGTACTTTACTGGAAGTATCACCTATATTTTCATATTAAAGTATCAATAACTAATAATGCTACTTTTTTAATTTATTGCTAATGCCACTTCTGGTTACATATATTAACCTTTTCAGAAAATGAATTTTACATTCAATGAACTTCATAGTGCAGTATTTCTATAATTCAAATTAATGTTCATAAATGTTTAGATTTTTGTCTATTTAAGTAAAATTTTGAATTCTACTCTTAAAAGATACAGATACTTTTCTGACAATCTTTAATCTAAATGCTTCCAAATATGAATATGGATATAATCATTCTGCTAACTTGAAAGTCAAGGAATTTCCTTTTTCTACTTGTTTACGTTTCGTTAGAAAATACTTTACTCTTTTAATTGGACAATAATAGCTCTCTTACCATTCTGTTGCTCAGTTAAGCCAGTAATTCTGGTTTTTAAATTATTTTTTCTAAATTACCTTTGTTATATATGGATAACTTTGACTCAGGAAAGAAATTTTTCTTTCGTAAAATTATATATTTTAGAAATAGTATTTATTGGCACATAATTCTTAAAACATTTTTAAACAGAAAAATCTACATGCTCTGCATCCTAAGATGAAGATAGCCTGAGATTGAAAAATCGCTTTTTCAATAGCCAGACTTTACCAATTGTATCAAGTAAAAATTTCCCCTCCATTCCCCAGAAATATTGCCATTGTAAAGGGTTTAGTCTGTATTCCTCCTGGTGTTTTTCATGTATATACAGAGTGTAAAGTGTACACACACTTATATACTCTTCTGAATTGCCCTTTTCAGTTAATATGTCATAGACTTCTCTCTCTGTCTGTACAGTTACCTCATTCTCTTTAATAGCTGTATATTATCCCATTAAATTAATGTACTAGAATTTAATCAACTTATTGATATAGAAAATAAGGTTGTTTCAGTTTTATTAGTATATCTTTTAAACAACTGAAGTATCTTTTTATATCTATATTTAGGAGGTTATTTTGCTTACCATAAGTGAAATCTTTTTAAAGTAATGGGTCCAAATATAGAGTTTCTCTTTATTTGGAATTGCAGCTAATTCATTTGGAAGAAATTTATCATGTTCCTACTTCATGCCAGGCACTGTTAGGCATTGAGGATACAGAGATGAGAAAGACAGTTGCTGCTCTCAAGGACAAACTTTGGGAATGGCTCATTTCTGCCAGCGTATAAATCATGCCATTCCTCCCTAGAGAGGGTGGTTTCTAATTCCTTGGACAAAATGCTAATAATTTTGTGTCAATCAGAAGAACTGCTCTTTATACCACTTCTCCTGTTTCCTAAATGAAAACCATTATTTTCTTTAATGATTTTTCATAGTTTATATATAGATCATTGTGATAATCAGGTGGTATTTATTTTAAAAATGGGTCATATTTCTGATCAAACCCTGTATTCAGCAGATTTGCTGCACGTCCACATGTGCTGGATACTGACGCAGTCACTGGGGGGCATGGATGATTCAGTCTCTGCTCACGTAGACCTACAGCCTACATTGAGTAGGTGAAAGAAAAGTGTTTTAGATCCACAGTTCGCTTGTACATACTATGTCTTCACATAGTACATAACCAGTGGATGTCTTGTCGATTATTTTTAGATGCCATGGTTAATTAACAGCAATCAGGAAAGCGTAATTTTCCCTCAAGCAAACTGGCTTCCAGACCTACCTGCTTTAAGTTTCCTATTCTCCTTAATACCTCACAGTCTTCATCTTTGAATATAAGTTTTAGGGTATCTAAAATAATTGAAATTTTCAGTGGAAAGCTTTACTTTGGTCAAAAAGCAGATTTCCAACAAATTTATTCTCATTATCCCATCTAGTATCTGTGCATATTTTGAAAATAAAGCTGTGTACAAATATGAGTGTTTATGAGGTTTCTGTTGACTTTTTCAATTGAGACATCCTAAAATACTCTTAATCTAAATAATTTCTTTTTTTTTTACCCAGCGGGTCCATATGGAATATTTGCTGGTAGGGACGCCTCCAGAGGACTGGCGACATTTTGCCTAGATAAAGATGCACTTAGAGATGAATATGATGATCTCTCAGATTTGAATGCCGTACAAATGGAGAGTGTTCGAGAATGGGAAATGCAGTTTAAAGGTACCTTCATTTTGCTGGGTTCTTTGAGAATATTAAATTTATGGCCAAAGAAAGTATATATTATTTCACATTCTTTAAGAGCCTAAGGATGTCGTATGTTTTCATTGTCATCATTATTTCATGATTTATATAGCTAAATAGCAATTTGATTATTACATGTGATTTATAAAACCCATTTTTAAAAACTGACTTATTCCAAACATAAGCCTAACAAAAACTGTGACACCTTTAATCATATAAGGCTTGTTTATTAGGGTATAGGTTTTTTTAAAAAATAGGTTTATATTTAAAACTGAAATTGTTGATACTAATAGTATAATTCTAAATGATTTTATTGATCTCACCCTTGAACCACAAAGGAAAACTGTTCCCCTTTATTACCCCTCATGACATCAGTGATTACCACCTAATGTGACACTCTGGACCTGTGTGACCTCTGGATCCCTTACAACAGTTTTTCTGGCTTCTTGGCACTTGTACTGGTTCTGCTGGATAAAGCTCTTCCTATCTTATCCTCTGGGCTCATCAGTTAATTCAGTTAACCTAGGTTCAAATTCCTGACCAAGAAATGACTAAACATGTATTGACTTGAACATAGCAATGCTCTAAGTTAAACACCTGGAATAAAAAACAAGCATTGTAACAGAGATCTAAAAAAAGAATTGATTGAATAATAGTGTGACAGGAGCCACAAACTAAGACCTCAAAGAATACAGGATAAAAAGTAACAAATGAATTTTCATCTCATTTGGTTTCTTTTCCTGGGGTCTACTAGCATATGTCACATTTTCTCCCCCAAAATATTTCCTGGTTGGATCTACTCACCATGTAATTTTCCACCTCATATACTTTTCTCCCCCTTCCTCAGCCCCAAGAAGGTCACCATTTCCTTTTTTCTATTCTCTAGTCCAAACTATTAACACTACATTTTATTTCATCTCAGTTCTGTATGTTAAAAACAGAAAACTGTTCTGAGACTCACAGTGCACGTTAGTTAGACAGTTTCAGAGTATCTGTCCCCAGACCTAACCCAAGAGCCCTGGGATTGGCAGGTCTGGGACGGGTCCTGGACGTGCATATTTTGAAAAGATCTCTAAGTGATTCTGATGCAGAGTCTTGATTAAGAATTGGTGGTATGGGACACTGTCCTGCAAAGCACAGTTCCCCCAAGCTTTCTAAATTCCTTGACCCTGTTTTTCTTTTGTTTAAGCCTTACCTGAGTACAAAGACCAGCCAAGGTGAGCAGTAGGGAAATTTATCTTATATGATTCTAGAAGTGGAAGTGCCTTCCCTGCTGTATAATAGAATAGTGAAACAAATTTGATCACTACTGATTTTCTTTTGATGTGTCTTTCAGAAAAATATGATTATGTAGGCAGACTGCTAAAACCAGGCGAAGAACCATCAGAATATACAGATGAAGAAGATACCAAGGACCACAATAAACAGGATTGAACTTTGTAAACAACCAAAGTCAGGGGCCTTCAGAACTGCAATTCTGCAATTCTTACTCCCTTTCACAGAATGTCTAGAGTCTTGGGGTTCGGTTCACCTGCAGCAAAAAATCAACAGATTGTGTACAAGCTAATTGAGTCTCACTATGAAGATTTGAATACTAGACATTCTTGATGCTGCCAAACTCATGTTGCAGTTGTTTGTAATGTCTGGTGGGGCTTCTCATCCTGAAAAGAAAGAGACAGGGATTTTTCTTTTAAAGAGTAAGAAGTTATGAGGTTACTTTTCCTTTTTTCTTTTTCTTTTTTCCTTTAAATCAAAGACAACCAGATATGTATTTGCTGCTTGAGTGTACACATCTCATAAACAGCAAGGGATTCCTATTTCATGTGCTGTGCTTTTGTGTTAGCATTGAGGGAGGCAGGAGACCTGGGCAGGAGGTGGGGTTGCACATCAATTTGAGTAGTTTACGCTACTGAAACATTAAAATGTGAATTCCCCAACTTTTCTTTTTGGGTTTCATCAGGGAACAGAAAAAAAACCTTTATTTCTAAGAAATCTTTAGCAATTAGATGGGACTTCAAGTGGATTTAAGTCAAAATTAAATGCCCAACAGTAAGATCATTTGAAACTAGTTTTGCATTCCTTCCCTTCCCCTAGGTCAGATCAATATTACTTGTGCCTTATTTCACTTACATAGACTTGAATTATTTTTAGGGAAAGCCCATATGTGAATTCAGAAGTCACTACAAGCAGCATTAAGACGGAACTTGGAATATTCTGTTGACCGCAAAAACCTTGATGTCATTCTGTGTATATAGAATGTAAAAGGAATATTCAGTGTTACTGCCATGTATGTTAATATACACAAACTTAATTAGCATTGTAATGGCCAAATGCATTCCCCCATGCTTTTCTCTTCAAAAAAATTGAAAAACAAATCAACAACTCTATCCCCCAACAGCTGCCTAATTTTAGGAGTCTGACCCTCACAGCTCCCTGGTGTGGGTGCATGGGGTTGTAGTATGGATGTCGTATGGGTGTGTTTGAATGTGTGAGAGCGCCTTGGAAGGGACTCTGCAGATACTGTAAATACCAGTACCGTTTTAATAAAGCATGTACAATAAACCAAAATAAGCTTGAGTCGGACTTTATATACAAACTGTAAGCCAGTGCATTATAACATGGTAGTCAAGATTGTGCATTTGATTCAAGATAAGGGATAATCTTGGAAATGAAAAAGCGGGCACTGGTTCACCAAGTTGTACACATTGTACCACATTCACTATAACGTTAGGAAGAAATTCCACTTTGTGGAACATTCTCAAGAGATCTGAGATTATTCAGGTAAGAATTGATATATAAAAATGTACATATTTTACTTTATATTTTGATGCCAATTGATTACACTAGAATAGCACTCCAGGTTGTAGTTATTGGACATAAAACAATAAAGGATAATATACCATTAGGTATTAAATTCTTACATTGTTAGCTTTAAAAAGCCCTTATATGTCAGTTACTTGATTTCATCATGACTATTTGGTTGGGGACAAGTTATACCAAAAAAGACATTTAAAAAGTCACCGATTTCAAAAGAAAGTCTTCTGCTTTATGAATATTATATATGCAGAAGCCATCAAAGAAGGGGGAACTTTTAACTGCAATAATAAGCTAAAGTATGTAAAAACAGCAGGTCCTCAAATAACATTGTTTTCTATCTCGTTTCATTATAAAGTTGAGGAGATGCTGTAGGAACTTGTTAAAACTCTTGTTCATATCAATTAGCCCTTGTTCAAATTTGTTTTGTTATATGTTGTTTCACGTAAAGTTGCAGAATCTGTTGACGATGTTAAGTGAGGACTTACTGTACTACATTCTGTTATATTCAGTGTTGGAATGTTTTGCAGAAAATGAACTTCCAATTAAATTTTAGCTGAAGACTGGTTGTGAAGACTTAAGAGTGTTAGTAAATGCTTTGTGTGTTTTTATGTAAAATATTTTCTTAACAAATTTGTTAAAGTACATGTCCTCTGTATCTGTATTATATATATATATATACACACACACATATATATACATATATATATATATATATGTATATATATATATGAATCATTTGAGCCGAAAGTTCAGAAATAAATTACATTTGTGAATAGAAAAACCCTACATATTCATGCAGTAGAAATTATACAGTATGTTAAGAAAAATGAGTAATTTTGTGTTTTGGACTTGAAATAAACTGTTCTATAGACAATTCCTCAATTTCAGTGGAGTGTTTCTCATTCTCAGGCAGTTCGTTGGGCAAAGCTCCAGTAAGGAGACAGGAGCTGTGGTGTTGCTGTTGTTTTCCCTGTTGGACATTATTTCCCTAACTTGCCTGATGATTAGAACCACTTAAGGCACCAAAAAGACAAATTCTTGGTTCCCAATCCAAACCTACCACCCACTGAGCTAGACTCGAAAGAGAATGGATGTGCCTTGGGTAATTCTTACAACCAAGCACATACTAATCTTTTTAAGATATATTATCCATCTCTGTCATCCACTTGAGAGAGAAATGAAACTTACTCTTGGATAATTTGGGTTTGATTCTGTGTATTTCATTTTGTATCATTCTCTAAACTTCAAGAGTTTGAGTTAAAAATAAAAGTCTAATGTGCGATTATTAAACAAATTTTCATTCAGATTGTTATGCTTTGATACCATCTTCAGTTTGGCATGTTTCCCAAATAAGATCTATACTGTGTGTACTAGTCAGTTTCTCTCCACTGGGAAATAAACCCGTTCAGATACAGATCAAGATTTTTAAGACTTGACCAAGTGCTAAGGCTGCTTATGTTTTCCTGACAGTAATTCCACGTGCCTTTACTGAAATCTGCATAATCCGAAACTATACCTATCTCTACCCACAATCTAGAAAGTTAAAATTAATATTTTGAACTAGTACTGGAGAGAAATGTCTAGAAAACCCAGCATTAAATCAGATTCTATCCAAGTATTCCAGTTTTGTCTTGATAACTGAGAAGTGCAGCAAATGGCTAGAAATATATGCCATTGGCATGTTAACACTATATATTAATACAGCCATTATGGATCAGAATAAGCTGGTAATACTCTAATAAGGAATTTATAAAATTTTTAAGTTGCTTTGAGCATAAAGGAAATAAGTTCTTGAATATACTATAGTGATGGTTCTTTTTCTCTAAGGAATTAAAAGCAAATGCTCAAAGATAGTTTCTGAGTATGCTTCATTAAGGTCAGCTGTCAATTTGGTAGGCAATATTAATCACAGATTATGATGTATTTGTTGTGGTGAGAAAGTTCAAATAAAGACCACTCAACTTTACTGTTTTTAGACAAGACAATCCCAGGCAATGTCAGAAAAGCCTGTGTCTCCTCAGCACACTCCTGTGAGTCAGACATTGAGGGGACCCTGGGTTAGATTTCAGCTTTGCATTTGTTTTGCCATCATAAGTCACTGAGAACATTGGGTTGCCTGTGATGACTACATTCAAGACAGCACTTGACATGCTGGTTTATTCTGAAGAGATTTTTCTATCCTGCTGTATCTGTATAGGACCCAACTACACCAAATCATGACATCTGGTGTAAGAAGACTGGTAAATATTTGCATATTTCTTTTGAAAGCATGATTTTCATGGCTACAAAGTATTGTTCCCAAATGCAATTTTTAGTGAAAATGCAGGAAATTCCATATATGATATGGTGCCAATTGAGTTGAAAATTGAGGGAAAGCAAAGTTTGGAAGATAAATCAGAATTTAAAAACTAAAATGATGATGTCTGCCTAGTTATGAAAGTAATTATGCTCAGTGTCCGGCAAAGGATTAAGTAAATAACCTTTTCCTACATCTCCCTGCAGTCCGTCCATGCATGCATACAGGATTGGTGTTTTCTCCAAGGCTTCAGACTTAGCTATCCATCCAGTCATGCTGGAATCTCTACCTGGAACCTCAAAAGAAATGCACCTTTTTACCCCCAAATTTGCTCCTGCTCTTGTATTAGTGAGCTACAGGCAGGTCTTCCTACCTTCCTTCTCATCAAATCCATAATCCCTTGTGGCAATCTGTAACATAAATTTGACCTCGTTCCCCTCCTTGAAGGCTTCCAAGTGTCCCCCTATTTCCTGAAGAACCAAGACAAGGCATAGGCCGTCTTCCTCACTTCCCACCGCACCACTGCTACAGAAAACGACTTGTCCTAGAATGAACCCCTAGCTACTTACCCACTCGGTTCTTCACTCTGGGTTAGACTCTTCCCCACACCTTCCCAAGTTAGCTAATTTGCTCCGTTTTAGAGAATAGGCTCTGACTGATTCCATGCCCCCATAATATCACAGGTACTGTTGCACTGAATTTACTGTCGTGTTGTAATCATGTCTCCCCGATAAGCCAGGGGCCGTAGCATACTCATGTTTTAGACCCAGTATTTGTCCTAAACGTAGTGCAGTGTTAAGACACTTAGTATTTGCTAAAAATGGTTTTGTTAAATTTGTAAAGTGAGAGCATAGACTAATATCATTGGTTTTCTTTTTATTTATTTTTACTGGGGAATTGGGGGATGGGAACAGCACTGGGGAATTGGGGGAAGGGGAACAGACAAGTTGCTGTCCTTTTGTTCTTCAGTCTAGTTGGGAGGACGTTGCTTCACTGGCCCAAGTTGGCACCATCATTGCGCTCTTCCCAGGCGAGGCAGATCAGTTGCCGGCTTCTGGACAGCCGCTCATGGTGGCTGCTGGCTGCACACGGTAGCCCATGGCAACCCACTGCCACAGGGGCTGCAGCCTTGCCATCGCCAGCTACTCACGGCAGCCCCGCTCCAGGTTGAGCTGTTGTTCAGCATCTTAGCTGTAGAGGGCAGTGTCACTGGCCCTCATATGTGGGATCCGAACCGGGCCCTCTGGCATCCCAAGCCAGCTCTTAACCATCACGCCACTCGGCCGGCCCAAATAATATCATTGGTTTTAAATGGGGGCACCAAGGACAGAAGAGCCTCGGAGCTGCATCAGAGCACTGTCTCTTGTGTTTGTTGGGCTTGCAAGTAAATGAAGTTTTTGTGCTACAAAAAATAAAAAGTTGGGAAACCACTGGGCTAGATGATCTCTAGTACCTTTTCAGTTTATGAGTACAATTCAAGGTAGAGCTGTGCAGTCTTATAAATATCTGCAATGCTATATGACTGCAAAATACAGATCTGTCTTCATGACAACTGGATGAAGGCGTAAGTAAGCACTGCAGTGCTGCCTGACCTGAGTGCCTAGCTAATCAGAATGGTTTTGCAGCAACTACAGCTCACAGGCTTCATCAAAGGGCTGACCAAAGGAAAGATGGAGGAAAGGAGAGGACTCCCATGTTTTTTTTTTGTAATGAACTGAAAACACTCATCAATGCCTTTGAAACCCCACCTCCCCCCTACTATGTCACCCTACCCTCTGTACCACCCCTACCATCACAGAGGCACTCATTGCAGTCCCTAGTCTACTCCAGTGGTAATTAAAATTAACCATTTTCTAAACAACTGTTCCAGTGGTTAGAAAAAAGGTGGGAAGCAAGTTTCATTTTGCCATAGACAAACTGCAATGTAATAAAAGTATAATGAAAATAGTCCAGCCTGCTGCACTTCCCTGGGAAGAAATGCTTTATTTGTAGGGGAGACCTTTGCCCTTAAAACTGTGCTATAAGAGAAAAGCAAGATAAAAGGATTCAGTCACCTTTCTTATGTGAGAAATGCAAGAGCAAACATTTTAATTCCTTCTGTGTTTCAGCTGTGTCTCAGCTGTGTCTGTAGTGGAGTTTCAGCCTTCAAGGGAGTCTGCTGCTTTGTGCTGAACTTGAGCAAGTTTATGAACTTTGCTGAGCCTAATTTTCCTCATTTATAGAAAGGAACTAACAATAGCTACCTCACAGGTGAGAAATAACATAAAGGCCACTACCTCCATGACATGTACAACACACTATTCCCTTCCTCTACTTTGCAGTGGTACAAAGACATTTTAATAAGGATCTTTTTAGTGGTGTATCCTTTTCTTCGTATTTAAAATAACAGTCTGAATAACCTTTTGTTAATTAAACTGATAGCCCTAATTCTGACAAATGTTTACTACCTTACCTAGTTTATCAGTAACAAATTAATGATATGTTTAAGAACAGAATCAATGCAGTATTAAAGTTCAGCTATAATGCCAGGAGTCACAGATCACATTCATTAATATTCTCACAGGCACAACTCATAATTTATTTAGAATTTGGACTCATGGGGTGGAGGCTGTCCTGAAATCATTTGCATAATCTATAGATGAGATGAAGAGATAGATGTGTGATTATATTGAATTGAAAACACCTCATTACTGACCACCTTTGCAAGTTAACTCTGACTAGGAATAAAACTGAGAATGCCACATTGCAGCAATGAGTTCCGTGTGTTTGCCATTTAGCCTCACAGATTTGTGTGCACTGTTTTAATTAATCTTATTTCAACTGCCATGAATCATCATCTCACAACCCAACTTGTACTAAGCAAAACTAGTGATTAGAATAGTAACTATATTCTAACTGTACTGCTCAAAGGTTTTCCTTACACGATTGAGTCTCTTATAGCAAATTAAAGCTTCAGTTATCCTAAGTGAAAAAATCACTACACTCATTTATCCCACATATTGTTGAGCAGTCAGAATTTATTGGGTTGTCGGAAAAGTCATGACGCATTTTTGCAATGAAAAACAGAAAAAATACATTATGACTTTTCTGACAACCTAATAGTTCAAATTGGAATTCACTTATGACAGTTAACTATGTGTCAACTTGACTAGCCCATGGTGCCCAGTTGTTTGGTCAAACACTAGTCAAGATATTGCTGTAAAGGTGTCTGTATATGTGATTAATTTACAATCACTTGACTTTAAGTAAAGCAGATTACCCTCCATAATACAGGTGG